CTACAATCCTTTTTTGGCAAAAAACAAAGGTAGAGGTCATATTGACTGCAGTAGCTGTGCTCATTAGGATCATGACTGGCTTGAAGGCTTTCAAGCAGCTGGAATCATCTAGTTATTTACACTGTTGTACCATCATGCACCCAAAGACGAACAAGTGGTGTTATATACCATTAGAAGGTTGTAGTGGTCACTGAACAATGTGCAGCAGAAAGCGCAGCAGAAAATTGATCTGTTGGTCTGGAAAAAATTCCATCATTGACCAGGTTCAACTAAAGCAGGGGTAATTTGTCTTTGAAATCTTAAGAGCCTGATAAGATGGTGCTCTTGAGCAGATATGTGGTGGGAAGGGGTATATAGACATGTCAACCGTTGATGCTGATACTTCTTCAAAGATTAGTGAGGTTGGAATTGCATGTGGGAATATTAATTCTTGACTTGTTTTACACTAGAGCTGAAGCAGTGTACTATCAGAATCAAGTTTATGATGAATACTGCACATATTAGAACAGCAAAGAATTAGTAAGTTGAATTGAAATACTAATAGTGAATGATTACAGGCCATTACATCAAAGGGTGGTTGTTTTGTTGAAGCTCCAGTTTCAGGGAGCAAAAAGCCAACTGAAGATGGCCAACTAGTAATTCTAGCAACTGGGGACAAGGTAATATATATACTATTATTTAGCTGTTTAATGGAACAACACTCTTATTATCTTTGGTTTGCTGCACAACATGGAGCTTGTGAAAAGCAACAAGCCTTGGATTCTTATTAGACTTGGAGGCCTTGAATATGTGTTCCTTGAAGTAATTGAGTCCTGCTATGCTCTCCTTAATGTCATCCATAGCTCTATGCTTGCTTTCCTTTTTAGGAGCCTTTTTGCTCTTGGAAACCAACGAACACACAATGCCTTGACACTGCTGACATCAACTAGTACATGTGAAAAAAGACTATCCAGATTCGGCATGTATTTCTTCAAAAATTGAAAATCCACGTAGACTGAATTTCCTGCTAGTAATGGTGTATATGTGCCAATGTTTCTCTTGACAAATTCAATAACCTGTTTCTCAGCTTCTTCTTCAGTGACCATACTCTTAAGCAATTTGTCAAGACATCTATAAATGGCCTAATTATTTAAAACCTCTCGTTCGCCCTATCGCCAACATAATATATTAAAAAAAGATGCATACCCAGCATTTGTGTAATTCCTTGCACACGCTGCTTATAAAAGTGCACCTTGCCAGTATTTTTTGGCTTCCCTAAGCATCTAAACTTGGTTTGACAACTAGGACAGAGAAAAGAGAGCACAACTCTATAAAATCAATAATTCATTGATAACCATAAACACCATCTATAAAGCAGATGTGCAACAGAACAAATTCTTAAAATGGACTGACCTTGGCGTTCTCCAAGTGTCTTATAGCTTCTTCCTGAGAAGAAGAATTCATAAACAATTGTATACAACAAAGCCCAGCTGCCACATGATCCTTCTTTGTCACCTCATCATCATGCAATCTAAAAATACACAGGACGGAGACATGGCATTAGCATATACAGAAAATGGAAGCAAATCGACTAGGGCAGCCTATCAGAGAATATGATCAAATTCTGGAGTGAAGCCTGTAGAAAAACAGAAAGATTGAGCTTCTTGAGGTTTACCAAAGCACCTAAACTAAGAAACCGGGTAATAAAGTTAACATTTAAGAGAAAACAAAAGGAGAATATGCTTTAGAAATTTAATAAAGTTAAATAAACAGAGGACAGAGAGACCTACACAGGCGGATATTACCTCAAGACATCTATAAATGGCCTAATTATTTAAAATCTTTCATTCGCCCTATCGCCAACATAATATATTAAAAAAAGATGCATACCCAGCAGGTTACTGACCTTACTATTATGAGCTTATATCATAAAACCAATGTCGTCATCATCATCTGTGATATCGACTTCATCGTCATTAGTACTATTATTACCTTCATTCCCCTCATTCTCCTCATTATCACTGATGTACTCTACCATTGTGTCATCCTCTTCGTCAGAATTTTCTTCGTCATAACCAACTTCATGTTCTGTCTGAGCCTCCAATTCAATTACAGCTGCATCTAGGGTAACCGAATCAACATCATCTCTATGTAGTTGACTCAACATATTATCCGTATCATTGACAATTGAATTACTTTCAAGTGAAACATCTTGATATACTTCATCATTTGTTTCGCCATTTCCTGTCTCTGAATTTTGCATCTCTGGCACATCATATAAGTGTCTATCTTGAAATTTTAGGACAATTCGCCAATTTTCTCCCAATTTCGGATCATCAATATAAAATACTTGCCTTGCTTGAGTAGCTAGTACAAAAGAATCATGTTCATACCAAAATCTATTAACATTGATACTCGTAAAATTTTTATCTTTTTGCATCCCTGTCTTCTTGCGAAGATCAAACCACTTGCATTTAAATAGCAGAACTGGATTGCCATTAAGATACTCTAACTCAATCATGTCAGTTATAATACCATAAAAATCAATCACCTCATTTTCATGATAGCCTTCAACAACTAGACCGCAATTTTGACTTTTGCGTAGTTCATCGCGTCTTTGAATATGGCACCTAACGCCTTTTACAGTACACCCATTATATGTTCTTCCACGCACATCAGGTCCTATTGCCAAAGGATATAACTGATTGATAGGCACATACTTTTCCTTATTATATAATTGCATAATCTACAATGAAAAAATTATTACTTTTAATTAGTAAAGAGGAAAACAAATTAGAATTTAAACACATTAAGATGATTCTTATCTTAAAAAGTTACTTACTTTCCTTTTGAACCATAAAGGAAATTGTTCTCTATGTTTCTCTTCTATATCGCAACAGCTTGCTTCATCATCTCTTCTTTATGCTCCCTGTATGCAAAATAAATTACTTATAAATTATTTAAAATAGAAAAATAACAATAGAGAGAAAAATAACATATCGAAGAAAAGGTTCTACTTCTTCGCAATTATTCAACACATACCACTGAGCCATATCGAAATCTTTCTTTGGCATGGTATCATAGTTTCCATCTCCAGATGGTCTAACACTTTTTGAGAATATGTCCAGAACAACTTCATCTTTGTTACTAGATCCATCATCATTTCGATCTTCACGATTAAATCTAGTTTCGATGCCAGTAAGATACATAGAGCAAAATGTCAAACATTCATCAATAAGATAGCCTTCTGCAATAGAACCTTCTGGTCGTGCCTTGTTTCGCACATAACGCTTAAGCTTGCACAAAAATCTTTCAATTTTGTACATCCAACGATATTGTTCTTGTCCCCCATACATAGCCTCTCGTGGTAAATGCACATCCAAATGTACCATAACATCAAAGAAAGTTGGTGAAAAAATCATCTCAAGCTTACACAATATTAAAATTATATCCTTTTCTAGTTGTTCTAAGTCATCTTTTCTCAAAGTCTTGCAACATAATCGTTGAAAGAAATCGCCCAACTCAATCAATGCTGAAGAGACATCTTTATTTACAAATCCACGAATAGCTATAGGCAGCAGTCGTTGTAACAAAACATGATGGTCATGACTTTTGAGTCCAGTTATCTTATCATCATCCTCATTTACACGCCGTGAGATATTTGAAGCATAACCATCAGGAAATTTAACTGATTTTAAAAATTTATAGAACTCCTTTTTTTCACTTTTTGACATATTATAACAAGCAGCTGGCATTGTATAACTAGAACCATTATCTTGTAACCATAGTTCTTTTCTTATGTTCATATCCTTAAGATCTTGTCTTGCTTTATATGTGTCCTTAGTTTTCCCTTCAATACTCAGTATTGTCCCCAAAATATTCTCGCAAATGTTCTTTTCTATGTGCATGATATCTAAATTGTGTCGCAACTTCAAGCTCTTCCAATATGGCAACTCAAATAAAGTACTTCTCCTCACCCAATTCAATTCTTCAGGAAGACGTTTTCTTTTCTTATTATTGGGGTGTTTTCCTGGTCTATGAGTACTAAGAAAATCCAATTGTTGTAAGACATCATCTCCTGAGAGCTCTTTTGGTTTCAATCTTTTTTCTATCTTACCATCAAATTTTTTGCTTTTTCTCCATGTGTGCTTAGGGTCAAGATACCGGCGATGATCCATGTAACAGATTTTACTTCTTAACTTGTGTGAAGGTGCATCTTTATTGCAAGTAGGACATGCCATGTATCCCTTAGTACTCCATCCAGATAAATTACCTAATCCATAAGAAATAATATATGCGCACATTAGTTTATATTCCTAAACTATACAAAAATTACTTACAAATAGTATACTAGTAAAACTTATCCAAAATCTTCTATTTAACAATTATTTAGGCATCTTGGACAGTAAGGAGTTTAGGAACTTACCATAAGCTGGAAAATCATTTATGGTCCATATAACAGCAGCATGCATCTTGAAGGACTCCCCTGTTGATGCATCAAATGTATCTACACCTTCACTCCATAACTCATTCAATTCATCAACCAAAGGACGCAAATAAACATCAATATCCTTTCCTGGTGCTTGAGGACCAGGAATAAGCAATGACATTAACATAAATGGATCCTTAAAACATTTCCAAGGAGGAAGATTATAAGGAACTAGAATGACAGGCCACATACTATAAGTTGTGCTCATGTTACCAAATGGATTAAAACCATCGGCTGCAAGGCCGAGTCTAATATTCCGAGGTTCTTGGGCAACCCACTGATGATTCTTGTCAAATTCTTTCCACTCTTCAGAATCAGCAGGATGCCTAAATACATTTGGCTCATTAAGACGTTTTTCTTTATGCCACCTCATGTCCTCACTTGTTTTTCTTGACATAAATAACCTTTGAAGTCTCGGCTTTAATGGAAAATATCGCAAGACTTTATGAGGAATATTTTTATCCTTTCCGTTATTAATTTTCCACCTCGAAGTACCACAATGTGGACACTCTTGTCTATCTTTAAGCTCACCCCAATAAAGCACACAATCATATTTGCAAGCATGGATAGAAATGTATCCTAATCCCAAACCTTGCAGCTGGTTTCTAGCATCATAATATGACTTAGGAAGTGTCTCACCATTTGGCAGTGCCTCCAGTAGTCACTCTAGCAACATATCAAATGACTTATTACTCCAATGATTGTACACTTTCAAGTGTAGCAACTTCACAAGGAATGAAAGCTTTGAGAATTTCTGACATCCCGGGTATAATTCATGTTCATCTTCTTCCAACAAGTTGTCAAACTTTTTGGCTTCCTTCTCACGCATATTACCAGATATATTATTACCAGTTGTTGTCTCCTCCGAAAAATTGGCAAATGATCTTCCACTGGCATCTTCTAACATAGCGTTAATTCCATCATTGTTGTCATGTTCTTCATCTTCATCTTCATCTTCATCTTCATCTTCGTCTTCGTTTTCGTTGTAAATTGCTTCATCTTTATCTCTCCTTTGTGATTGTTCCCCCATGGTATATCCATTGCATGTAACTTCCCGTAATTTCTTTTATCAACAAGTGGTCATACACTACTTCTTGAGTTTGAAAATCTATATTTAAACAGTCTTGGCATGGACGTCGAACTTTAGAATTTCGATCAAAGTTTGACCGAACGAGTTGCATAAAAGATTGAACACCCTCAATATATTTTTTAGAGAACTTTCGTTCATGCATCCAACCTTTATCCATGATCAACTGCACCAACATATCGATAAAGCAAGTTAAGTCAGCCATGCGGTTATAATTGAGTTTTAATTAAGCAAAAGAGAAATGCATTTATTATCTTTCAACATGTCATAAAACTTCTGTTGAGAGAATAATAAAGAAGAAAAGAAAAAAAACACAAAAATTAGGAGAATATTGCTGGACATAGTTCACTGTTTATTAGATTATCTTGTCTAAAATCTAATTAAAACACGAAAACTATACAAGAATTACGAAGGAATTAGGATCATGTAATAGGAAGGTGTACATTATGATGAAACAAGTTTAATTGAATAACGAAACATGATCATGAACTCTTCTGGACGGAGGGACTACAAAAGGAAATTAAGAAAAAGAAGACTAATATATGAACGGAAAACCATTTTTGAGTTCAAATTTCTCTAGCTTTTCCCCTGAGAAGACTAAAAGGGTAATTCCTTTTTCCCATAAGCTATTATTTCATAAGGTTGTGGTTATTTGAATTTATCTTTCATCATGCAATGTGTTCTGCTGCTCCTAACTTCTACAGTGACTTGAGGATGGCATAGTTACATGGTTACGAGAAACTCTTAAGAGATTTGTTAGTAAATTGGCCACACAATTCCGTTTGATTCAAACTGCTCCTTCATGTCTACAATAGCTAATTAGAACTGTTAGTTAGCTAATTACATTGGATTAGCATTAGTAATAAATAGTTAGCTAAATAAATTGAGCCTGTATATATACACCATTGTATAGCACTTGGGAGTATCAATCAATGAACGAAATCCTGTTTCTCACTTCTCTCTGTTCCATTCCCTCTTCTTCTCTCTATTCTCTAATCCCCCTATCCCCTTCTAATGCTTTTCTTAGTGAAGGCAGTCCCCTCATTCCAGTGATATTTGCTTGTACACTGATGTTAAGAATTAAATAGAGAGGAGAAGGCAGCGATAGAAATAAAAGAGGAGAATTTACCAGAGTGGTCTGATAGCGAAGAAGGGGATTACCAAGAGCAACGAGATGCAGCGTCAGGCGAGGGCTGCATCGACAATTCTTTTTTTTTTTCTGAAAAGGACGGACGAGGGGAGATGTTGAGGGCTTGCTCGGGACCTTAGGTTGCTGAACGGGACGTTAATTCTTAAAACGACATATCGGGTCGTTACATCCTCACCGTAATCATCCAAATACATTATTCAATTAATGAAATCATTATCAACCAAATGCACAGAGACATTAATATGGCCGATAAGAAGTAACAGTAATAAAACCATCTCCAACTAGAAAGTATTCTTATTAGGGATGTATATAAGTCGGTTCAGTTCGGTTGTGAATGTTATTGGCTCGATACATCGGTTATCGGTTTATAAATATGCTAAACTAATAATCGAACCGATAAGATAGTGGTTATCAGATATCGATTAATCAGTTGCCGATCATTACGATTTACCCGATAAGATAACTTAATTTAGAGGAAAAAATATGGTGTACAACACTAATTAATCTTATACCTTGATTCCTTCACTTGTGTTCTGAAGAGTGAACAAAAGTTTTGTCGACATTGGGTGATCAATCAGCATAATATACTGAACACTAGGAATATTAGAGGATCATAATTACAACAGTTTCTTTCCTACCAAGAATTAGGAGGTTTTGTCAACTGTACTTATCCAAACAGAGTAGAAACAACACAAGTAGTAGCAATTACACCTTGAAAATTAAGAAGTCCAAACATATATAGTACGGGTTAAAAATAATATTTTGATAAAATTTATTGGTTATCGGTCCTTCATCCTCTATAGCCGAGGGTCAATCGGAAACAGTCTCCCTACCCTGGAAGGGTAGGGATAAGGTTGTGTACATCCTACCCTCTCCAGACCCCACTTGGTGAGATTATATTCGGTAGTTGTTGTTGTTGTTATTGTTATTGGGTTATCGGTTAAATCGTTAATAAAATGGAGCAAACCAAGACACGAACCGATAACTCAATAGTAAATTAACACAAAACCGTTAAAGACATTTCACCCAATAACCCGATACCGATAATTCAATAAATATTTTTCGGTTCAGGCTATTGGTTTTACCCGATATATGCCAATAGTAACTTTGTAATTAATATTGAGTATATTAAAATCTAATGGGTGGGGTATTGGATGTTGTACTATTGGCATATGGATAATGTACTAAAAATATAATGTATAAAAATTTTAAATTTTTGAATATCCAAAAATTTGAAGTACCAAATTCAATATCCAATCTGAAATCCAAAAATTATAAAAATTAAATCCAAAATCTAATCTGTAATCCGAAAATCCAAACCAAAACATTCGGATTTTGGGTTTTTCAAAACTATGCCCACCCCTAATGAAGTCCAATGGCAAATGAAGATACAAATTTGGACTTTCTATTTTCTACAAAATGTTCAATTAAAAAATTCACTGTTACAATGTCCAATTAAATAATATGCAATACTATGGCTCGTTATTTGAGTTACTCTCAATTTTACCAATGAGTTGAGCTTTTATCATTCATTTGTTATAGAATTATATGAGCGTCAACAGAGCTTATTAGGGAACTCAACGTATCATTTGCGTAAGAGTTATTGGACGAGCCTTGAGCGTTAAGCGTTAAGTGTTATAGGCATGTTCAACATGCACAGTCGAGCGCTTGGGACATAAACCTCATGAAACTTTGCCCCACGTACGTGTAAGTGTCTGGGTGTTTTGATAGTGCCCCGCTTAGGCGGAGCCACGGACGAGTTCCAGAAAAGCCTTTTAAAATAGAAATGTGTCGATATTTTATTGGATAGGAAATTTAAAAGGAAGAAGGACTTATTAAATTGGGGTTTAAAAAGGTCATAGAAATTTATGTGCCTATTCATTTCATCACGGTATAAGGAAAAGTTTAAAATTAAATTATTTTTGATTAAGTAAGTATGACATTCACATACTAAAAAGAAAAATATGACCTAATTGGTGGATTTTCAGCATGTACAATAGTTATATTAGAATCAAACCAAACCAAACCAAATCGGTTTATTATTAGTTTGATTTTATCGATTGTTTTGATTTTTCTATCAGTTTCTTAATAAAAGACGTAAAAAATATATTATTAAACACATATTATAGCAATTATATTGAATTACTTATTAAGAAAAGTTGTTAATTCTCAAGATATTTTGATGATAATTGAATAATGATGAATCATTTAAGGACTCAATTAAATTTAAAAAGTTATTTTTAACATGGAATAAATTCTACAAACCAAAATAGAATATAAACNTCAACAAGTGGTCATACACTACTTCTTGAGTTTGAAAATCTATATTTAAACAGTCTTGGCATGGACGTCGAACTTTAGAATTTCGATCAAAGTTTGACCGAACGAGTTGCATAAAAGATTGAACACCCTCAATATATTTTTTAGAGAACTTTCGTTCATGCATCCAACCTTTATCCATGATCAACTGCACCAACATATCGATAAAGCAAGCTAAGTCAGCCATGCGGTTATAATTGAGTTTTAATTAAGCAAAAGAGAAATGCATTTATTATCTTTCAACATGTCATAAAACTTCTGCTGAGAGAATAATAAAGAAGAAAAGAAAAAAACACAAAAATTAGGAGAATATTGCTGGACATAGTTCACTATTTATTAGATTATCTTGTCTAAAATCTAATTAAAACACGAAAACTATACAAGAATTACGAAGGAATTAGGATCATGTAATAGGAAGGTGTACATTATGATGAAACAAGTTTAATTGAATAACGAAACATGATCATGAACTCTTCTGGACGGAGGGACTACAAAAGAAAATTAAGAAAAAGAAGACTAATATATGAACGGAAAATCATTTTTGAGTTCAAATTTCTCTAGCTTTTCCCCTGAGAAGACTAAAAAGGTAATTCCTTTTTCCCATAAGCTATTATTTCATAAGGTTGTGGTTATTTGAATTTATCTTTCATCATGCAATGTGTTCTGCTGCTCCTAACTTCTACGGTGACTTGAGGATGGCATAGTTACATGGTTACGAGAAACTCTTAAGAGATTTGTTAGTAAATTGGCCACACAATTCCGTTTGATCCAAACTGCTCCTTCATGTCTACAATAGCTAATTGGAACTGTTAGTTAG